TCAATAGCATATTTTCTTTTACTATTTCATAACATAATTTTTGTCCGGTGTCTACAAATTCTGTTGTAAATGCAGAAAATATGTCAAATAATAGTAAAGTCTTTGGTATTTTATTTAGTGATCAGAAAACACTGCACACTACTATTTCATAACATAATTTTTGTCCGGTGTCTACAAATTCTGTTGTAAATGCAGAAAATATGTCAAATAATAGTAAAGTCTTTGGTATTTTATTTAGTGATCAGAAAACACTGCACAATACTATTTCATGAACTGCTTCAACAAGCTTATAAATTCATCTTTCAATACATTATTGAACAGAAATTATTTTAATAAAGTAACATTTATAGTTTACAATTATTACTATTAGAAGTAATGTAAGAAAATACAATTTATCAAGTTATGTGTAACCATGGTAAGACTTGGTTATGCTGGCCTCACAGATGCAGGCAATGTAGTATATTATACACACAGCATTTAGAGTCATTATGGAAAAAATAATATTTATTCACACACACACACACACACTCTTGTTACTCAAATTTCTCAACAAAGTTCTTCTTGAAGATGCAGGACTATTTTTTCAAGTTCACACATTTTCTATACCACACATTAATAGAGAGAGAGATCAAAGTATTAGATATTAATATATTTGTACTACAACGGCAAAAAATGACAAAATATAAACACACAAATGACTTTAAACTTTAACATTTTTGACAAGTTAAAGAACAAACTTCTAAATAAGATATATGGCAGCTCAATAAGTAGATTTTACAAGCTAGCTGCTGAAAATATAACTCAATATATTTAGCTAAGTTTTTTATAATAAAACAAAAAAGAACTATTCATTCAGATGTAACAATTCACTTCTTAGTAAAATATTTAGCAGGCACAAATGGCATCTTAACCACTTCAGCTGGTATCTGTTTCTTTCTTACTTCACACTGCAGCTTGGTTCCAAGTTTTGCATATTCACTCAGTACATATGCCATGGCAATGTTCTTCTTGAGGCATGGGGAGGGTCCACCACTAGTAACCTCACCTATCTGGTTCCCATTCTGATCTAGTACTGGAGTATGGCCTTGAAACAAATTTTATAACATGTTTGCTTATGTTTATTTGAAAATAGTTTTTTTATTCTATTATTTAAATTATCATTATTAAAGCACCAAAATGAGTTTTTAACTTTATATAATATATTGTAATGCTCATTACCACATGGTGTGTTTTCTACAAGCTGTAGCCATTTGGAACCCCTTATAAGATGAAGTACAAACAATAGACAATGTTACGACATTTAAAATCACTTGTAACAATAATACATGAAATGAAAATTTGTTATATTTTAAACAAAGAATTTTATTTGAATGAAATGAAAAGAAACAAACAAGAGTATAAGATAATCCAGTATCTGGATGTAAAACTATACATAACTTATGTGGTTAACAGGAGAAACACAATTTACCTAGCATTTAAATTTAAAATTAAATTTTAATTAAAATAAGTTATTTCTCTAGAGAAAGATGAACTGTACATGTACAACAAATATCTTACTTATTAAACCATGTGATTATATGTGAATAATCATGAAACAGAATAAACCACTTCTTAGTAAATGCTTTTTTTTTTTGCCTTGAAAGATACTTTTTAACTGTGCTACATACAGAGTATTTCTTTCACTTGTGTAATAAATGTTACTTCAAATGAATGGTTTGTAATTAAACTAAATTAAAAGGACAAATACTATCCATCATTTGTTTTACCTTTCTGAAATTTAAATTCACACTTTTTTTTTTATCACCATACAACAAAAGAGTCCTTCTAACCCATTGTTGAAATTTGGTGGTACTTTCAACAAACGTTTTGCAAACAGCCCTTCATTTCAGGATCATAACCACAGTAATAAACAGTTAATTTTAATTTTATTTCTGAAATTCTAAATCTCATTTTTAAAAATGATTCATAAGCTTAGGGAGTTACCAACTTATTACTAACTATAAACTATTTTCACTTATACAAGATATCAACTAGTACAAAAAAAAAGAAGTCTGGAACAAACATTTTCTTTAAAACTCAATCTAATCAAAAACACCTTGGGTGTGAAAAAAAGGTGCAGCCAAAAAAGGATTGTGTGCACAATTTAAAAGAATGAAATCAAAATTGGCGGCCAAACTGGTAGCTACACTTAAAGCATTGATAATAATTTTACAGCAAATATTCATTCATTAGCTTTTGTTGCTCTAAATCAGCCATCTTTAATCCAAATGACAAAAACTAAAAACAGTACACTTCTACTCTTAGGTGAAGCTGTAGTAAAAATGTTAGACTGATAGCTCATGTGACTTTTTGTACAGGTGTGTGCAAAAATTTTCATTAAATTTTAAGCAATTTTTGTTGAATACCTTTGCACATGTGACTTATATTTACACCAAATTAGACTTCTAATTGTAGGTTGTAAAGATCTATCAGCATACCAAATTTGTAAAAAATCCATAAAAGTATGTTTTTCTATCAAATAAAGTTTTGGTGCAAAGACAAAAAAGGAAGAAACTCACACAAAACTGGAGGTGTTATATCTCAAGTATTTCTTAATGGATTGCCTTGATATTTGGTATGTGAAGTAAGAGTCAAGTTGAGCACGTCCACTGAAAATATGTGGTAGCTTGGATTACCACAGTCCGAGATACAGAAGGTGGAAAAATCACAAAAGTATCACTCCTGTTAATAATACACAGCATGTCCTGCAGCAGGACACACTACCATATGTCTTGGATCTTTCTTGTTTAATCCTATCTCTACAGGTCTTCCTATGGTCAGGGGTCAAAGGCCATCTCATTGTGTTTCAGTTAATATTGTTCTCATAATGTAAATTTTTATTTTACACAAATTACTACAAGTAAAGCTCCCTGTTACACCTATCAGAGCAGCCCCAAAGACCAACCTTCGCCCACCCACTAATATAACCACTTTAAGTTATCCATCAGCTCAAGCCTTACATGCTCCTAATTACAATATAATGAGTTTGTGAGTGGGATGTAGAGAAAGTGATGTTTCTAAACATCCCTGTTGGTTTCTCAGCCTTGTACTAAGAAACTTTAAACCTAAATACCTACCAAGAACAAACAAACCTGTTTCTCAAAACCTCATGGACATGCCTAACTAGGAAGAGGTAAACGAGAACAAACTAACAATTAAATAATGTAACAACTAAGTTAAATCACCCTTTACTGCAAACTTCAGTACAACAACTACTCCATAGTCATACATACTCAGAATTGGGACGACAAGAAGAGAGTTTAATAATTGATTAAACTAAAAGATAATTCACCCTTTTTTTTGAAAACATATGTTTTGTGCCTACCTTGAACTACTTGAGTACACCAAGTATGCATTTAAGACATAAAGACTAGTAAGATTTATTACATTTACCTCTTGCAGGAGCACCGGACGAAACAAGACCAACTCTTCGCTTCAGAGGTTTATCTTTTAGCTGCTTCAAAATAATAGATGCACCAGGAAAATCTACAGTTTCTCTACGCCGTTTCCCTGTAAAAAAAAAGAACCGTTATTTAATATTTTAGTGCTATATTATCATACAGATATTCCATATAAATGCAGAAAGTTACATATCTACAACTGTGATTAAAGAAATTTGTTAGTTAATACTTGAAGAAATAAATAAATAAAAAGTTTTCAACAACAAAATAATAAAAAGCTGTTTTCCTGGGTTTCTTTTTTTGCAATCACATTCAGTAGTTAATCAAAAAAACTTTCTGGGGAAGAGACTAGGTACATAAGAAGTTGCGAAGTAACACAACCCACACGGATTAAATAGGCTACAGAGTGACATAACAAAGAAAGTTAATTATTTGAAAGATTCCAGTCTTTCCTTATTTAAATAAAATATGTTGGAACTGACAAAAAGAAAAAAAAACATAAGCACAAAGCTACACAATGGGCTTTCTGAGCTCTGCCCACCTTGGGCATCGAAACCCAGTTTCTAGCATTGTAAGTCTGTAAACATACTGCTGTGCCACTGGGGACATTTTAGAAAAGTACACAGTAGTAATGTAATAATTATTATATACTCAGTGCTCACCCACCCTATTTGTCTCTTTGCCAAAAACTAATTTTAGGCTAATATGGCAAAAATAAACCACATGACAAGATTTTGGGGGAAGTAAACCTTACAACTCTCCCCCATATTGATCATTCTTAGTTACAGTTAGCAGTAATTATCTTTGACAAAAGTGAAATAAATAACAATTCCCATCTTAAGCATCCCACTCAAGTTCATAGAGTGCCATAAAGGTTATTAGTGCCATTTTATACACACCATGTGAACATTGAATAAAAACAAAACATAGGTTAACAACTTGCCTGATCACAAGTATACTTATAAACTATTGTATGCAGATTTAGATGGATATACATATATTGTGACTATAAATAAACAAACGTGGCTAAAAAAGAAATTAGGCCAAGTATACTGTATTGAAACAAAAAAACTATATATTTATTTAATCAATACGAGTTTTAAGTATAATAAATACCACCCTAATAATTCTACTATATGTTACTCCCAACCTCCACCCTTTTCAAAAAAGATTATAAGTTTTACCTTAAGTAGTTCATATTATCACATTATTCAAGTATTCAAGCTACCTACCTCTTGTGACAAAAAAGGTTTGTTCCTCATTGAATATTTATCTAATAAAATATTTTGAAATTTATTATAAAAACTTGCAAAAAACTTTTTTATTTGCCAATATTTATATCAATTATTTTCTAATTTAGTTATGAATAATTTTTCTTTAATAATGTTTTTACCAACTCCAGCAATACTCTCTCATTTATGTGAAACAAAATTTTTGCCCAAAGTATTCTAGAAACTTTTTACTTGTTGCTGTACCTATGGTCCAAGCTAATCCTGCTTCAATAGGAGTTGTATTCTCATCAATATCATTTCCATAGAGACAAAGTCCTGCTTCTAACCGCAATGTATCTCTCGCACCTAACCCAGCTAACTTCACATCATCTTCCTTTGAAGCAAGGATTTCTTTGACAATATCTACTGCTTTACTAGCAGGAACAGAAATCTATGAATAAAGAGAAAATAAAATTCCAATTCAAATCTTAACTGTAAACATTTTCATAAATGCAGTTATAAAAATATATTTTTTTTCACAGGTAACAACCATAAAAATTAAATATTGTTCTTGTGCTTTAATTACTACATTAATTAAATATAGCACACTTTGAACAGTTTCAGGCATTTATTAATGCATTAAAGTTTTTACTAAATAGGAAAACTAAATTTAATGAGCTCATGTTGAGAGAGTTAAGATGTTCTAGTAATCTTCCATAGCCTCATTTATGTTTCAGGCATTTCTATAATTACCATGTAAGGTTATGGTTAACACATCCTTACCTCAACACCATCTTCTCCAGTGTAACCACAACGTGTCACTCTGCAATCAGAAACATTACAAACTTTGGTTATGGTAGAGGTCATAAAAGTTAGTTGTGAAAGATCACAGTCCACCAGTGGCTGCATTGTTTGCATCATACCTGGTCCTTAAAGAGAAAAAAGGATATACAAAAAAACAATTATAAATATAATGAATATTCTTACTTAATTTTTTGAGTAAATTTCATCACATTGATCTTTTCATTTAATTAATAGCCACATTATGAGATTGAAACCTGGGTGATGATTCTCTTCCCCTATTTTTATGTTATCTATAAGTTTCTTAAGATAAATTAATTAATAATTAAATACCTTCTTAATATGAATTTTATTTGAATACTCATTACATCAAGGTAGCTTCTTAATTATATAGAGCTAGCAGTATGAAGCTTTTAGTGCTTCTATGAGAATTAATCTACACATGATTAATAATGAAACAAAGGATTCAACTAATTCTTAAACCCATTCAATCTGAAAAAATCCTAATAAACAAAATGGTGTACTTTTAACCTCTTCACATGGGTCATGGGTTAAAGGCCATGTCATCACGTTTGTTGACTCACATTCAAAATTTTATTGAACTAATATTTTATGAATTTATGTCAATTTGGTATCAAATTGTAGATTATAATTCAAATTTTAGTATTATACATCATTTAATTTCTTAAATTAAAATTAAATATTAAAAACACGCACCTAAATATTGATTTTTGTGTGTCACGTGGTATACTGAATGCAGCATTGATTCACATTAGATGTTTTTGATGTCCAAATACAATGTCCATAGTTTCTTATGAATTAAGAAATCAAGTCACCAATATTGACAATCCAGAATATAAAATAAGAACCTCCTATCTTTTCTATTTGCTGAGATATCGTTCATGTACTGAATCAACACAGTGGCCCTTCCCACCTCTTTCCATTTTTGGAAACACTTTCTCACATACAATTACATGTGAATAATCAATCAAAAGCTCAGAATGTCCCCCTAGTGGTAAGCGGTAAGGTAAAACTTTACTGAACTCAAAATTTCATATTTTATTTTACCCAAATATTGCTTAGTTACTAAGCTTGAAAAATTATAGTGGAATTCTATGGTATCAATAAAGAAATATATGATTTTTTGGTTATTTCAAATGTATATCTAAAACAAAAAAAATATTTTATTTCACATCCTCCACGTGCAAAATTTTATAAGGCTTAGCAACCTACAGTAAGCAGGCAAACATAATTAGATGTAATTGTTTGCTATACTTCTTTATTTACGGTTCTATGTTTTAAGAAAAACAAGTTTAAGAACGTATTTGTAAACAGTAATAATGTATATACATATACAATGTATTATAACTGAAATGTGACTGAATTTTACAAAATACTAGTTCACTAAAACACAGCCAAGACAGGTCACTTTTATATTATTGGATACGGTAACATATAAATATATAGTGTTATGACACTTAAGTTATTTAGACTAAACATTTGTGTTTGAGTTATAATTTGCAGTCATTCTAGAATGAAAAAAGCATAATTTATATTTATTTCCTAATTCTTTATGGTGGTTATGAGATTGGTCAAAACTACCGAACCTGTACAGAGATTCAGTAGTGAAAATAACAGATAAAATATAAAGTTTCTCTTAAAAAAACGTTTGATAATCATCTGGAGGTTATATAGATTTTGCATGTGAAATTTGAAGATTTTGAAATGTAGAAGTATTTTTAATTCTAAAATGAAAATTACTTTGTACGTTGGATAGGCAACATGCAAAAAGAAAAAAGGCATGAGAAAACCCTTAAGACTTGATAAAAAAAAAAAGATATTTTGTGTACAAAAGCCTTGTAATAATGTTACTGATAATCTGCTAAATTTTGTGAACATATGCTTAGTAATTTAAAAGTTATAGCATTAAAAGTACAACACGCACAAAAATGTTACGAGGTTGGTCCCAATGACTGAGCCCATGCTGAAAAAGAAACAAAATTCCAATGAGTTAGTGAGAGATATAGTATGCCAATTTAATTTATGAAAATCTTTGGAAAAATGGATCTTCATAACATTACTGAGTTTAAAATTACAAAATTAAATCATTTGATGTTAAAGAAAATAGTGAGTGAAAATTGTTAGAAAAGTTAGCATTTTTCTACACTGAAAATGTATTTCCAATAAATACTTACCTCCTCTCACAAAATATGTTTTCTCGACTAGCAGTGCCCTCTATTCGCAAAAATTTTCAATGCATGCCACTAGCCTTCGACTTCCCACTTCTGAATATCCACATGCAAATGATCATGCAGCAGCTCTACACCAACAGGAGTGCGATATCACTCCTATCATAACCAGCACCCTCTTCACATCTGCACTCGTTAATCACTTTGAGACTGGTCAGAAGACCTACACCATACATCATCAGGAATTGGGGAAGCTGGGTGAGAAATGCGAGAAGTGAAAAGTATATATCGGAAATACATTTTCAGTGCAAGAAAATTCTAACTTCCGATACAATATGTTACCTCTTTTCACAAAAAAAGCTAGAATCCCAAACTGAATTGGTGGAGGGATGATATAAAGAAAAAAATCCCCACCGTTAGGAAGTGCCCAAAGAAAGACCAAGAGGTCTGGAACCAAAAGATAAAACACCACACCTCAGAAAGAGACAGCACCACATCTGTTCAAGGTATACTCTTCACTCTTTTGTCATAAAAGTGTTGCAAACATAAAAGTTGGAGAAACATGAAGGAATCCCAGAATATGTATGACCAATGAATGGGACGCTTGGGTGTCAAGTGGCTAGGGCACGACAAACCATAGTGGTAGATTCACCTCATCCAACACCAGGCAGTATCTGGAATGGTATGTCAGATCTGCAGTAGGTAGAGGATCACCACAGATAGAGGAACCAACATCCAGCAGATGGTAGGAAAGAGGAAATCCCCAGCACAATTACATCTCTGTTCCAAAACCTGATGGCAGTGGGCATGGTACTTCCACTCCACAGTAGGAGGAGGATATCTGACCTTACACAAGTGGGAAAAAATGTGTTACATCCAGCTACAACCGACACCAGATCCACTGGGAACTGACATCCAGCAGATGGTAAAAAGAGGGAATGCAAACCTGGGTGCACCTCCAGTTCAAAACCTGGCAACAAGTGGGCATTTATCATCCCGTTAACAGTAGGAGAAGCAATACCAGCCAGTACACATGAAAGGAATTACTGAGCTGGACCATCTCCAACCAACACAGAACCCACCAGAAATGTATATCCGGAGGATGGTAGGGGAGGAGGAACATCTCAACCCGAAGGGCAACCTGCAATAAGATATATATATATATATATATATATTCCTGACATGGCGGAGTGCTTCAACCAAAACCTGGGGGCATCTGGAATTGTACATCAGGTTCATGGGAGGAAGTGCTATATGCCAGCAATACCTGCAGAATGCCACCACTCAGTTAGTGACTAGAAACTGATAAGTGGAAAGAACTACCATACTTCACTAGGGGGGGGGGGAAATCATTGGAGTGTCTGGAGGACTGCACCACCAGAGACAGTACAAAGGGTGACCGTGATACCCTATTTTGAAAAGCAGAGCTACCACGTTGATGGAGTTGATCAACCAAAACCTGACGGTGGTAGGAAGAGTCAATGCCATGGAGCATCAGAAATGGGCAGCAATCTCAGTCTGCTTTACTCATATTAGTCCATGAGTGTAGAGTCTGGGATGAACATATTTATGAAGTAAAAAAACCACTAGAGAACTACTAGCAGTCCTATAAAACACTCCATCTCTACAGTATGCATAACCCAAACCTGCAACATAATTGTTTAGTCATAGAGAACAATAACAGACACACATAACCAACACCTGGCAACATCTGGAATCATGCATCAGGTCCATGGTAGGAAGGGCTACAATGTAATGGATATTGAGCATGGTTATAGGATTGACAGTGCAGATTTTCTTTTTAAAAGTGTACCTGGTCAGGCACCACTTGCTACATAGTGGAATCCACAATACATTAGCAAAAAGGCTCCTGAAAAAGTAAGAAAAGTGTGAGGAAAAAAAGCAACATTTCAAAATATGAAAATTTAAATAAATAATAAAGAAAAACTAAGTCAGTACTATAATGGAAAACATTAAAAACCATCATGTCTATGCAGTACTACTGCCAATCAAGAAACAAGTGGAGTTGTGCACCTATTGGTGGAGAGCTGCTGCATGATAATTTGCATGTGGACAAGCAGAAGCGGGAGGTGGAAGGCTGGTGGTGTGCATTGAAAATTTGTGCCAATAGAGGGCAATGCTAGTCGAGAAAATCTATTTTGTGAGGAGAGGTAAGACATTGTATCATACCTTTTAGTTTCTCTCTTATTTTAGACAACCCACTGAAACTGTTTGAATTAATTATTTTATCTAAAATGAAAACCACTTGTTAATTTGATAATGCAGAACAAAACTGTATTCTTAAAATTTAAAGTACAAAAAAGTTCCAAAAATTAATGAGATTTAAATAATAATTATTTTAATATTGTTACCCTGAACAGCAACTAAACCTCGATCAGTAAGAACTTCCAGCTGAACATCTCCTCCTTGTTTCTGAAACTTTGTCAGCTTCGACTTCATGAAAACAATAAAGAATACCAGAAGCTGATGGAATAACATTTCTAATATACATGTATAAATAACTTTTTATCACAAGGTTTATCAAAGATTAAAATTATTCAAGTAAAATGTAAACACTTTAGGAAAAAATTATGATAATTTAAAAATGTGAAAAATTTAATGTGTGTACTAATATTTAAATTGTATATCTTAATTAGGAAAGGACAAATAATCATTAAAAAGAAAGTACTACTTTTAAAAAACCTTTCAGCTCAATTTTCATTCCTGCAAAAAAAGTACTTTAATTAAAACACTTAGAGTAATATTATGAATTTGGAAAAATTATTTTAAATTAAAAAAACTAACATTCAAACAAGCATTTACTTTCCAATACATATTTACATATATATAATCATTTAAGGTATAATAAATCATAAAAACATTTATCTACCAATAAGTAATTAGCACAATCAATGCACAGCACATAAATAACTACACTTTCCATCCAACTTTTTTTTAAGCTGCTTGAAACTGATATTCGCTTTAATGTATCACAATTTCTTGCAAGTGTATTATTGTTAACATATTACTACATTTGTACTGCTTAGCTGTTAATACATGTTTTTGGTCTTTGTATTATAGCAGAGAGACTTAAACTGACAAGCTTAACAAGATGGAATATTTTGATGGGACAAAAACTATACACAATAACATAAACTATTATCAAACCTTAAGGTTCCTGTCAATGCTCTTTGTTTGTTGAATTCTAATTCCTACACGTAACAACATTTATTCATTTTGAATCAAATTAACAAAAAATAAATTGTGATAAGGCAGACGCAATGCATAATTTCTTTATTTTTAGGGTTACACATTGTTCATACTAAGCAAATAATTAAAATTATTAAGTTAAAATTCACATGTAAGTAAAATATATATATATGAAAAACAAGACTTACAGTTGAATATCAATACTGAAACTTTACCAAGAAAATTTAGATTTAATGCTATAAAAAATTATGTTTCAATCTCAAGTCAAATACACAAAACCAGTATTAAACATAACCATCTTATTATTATGTATAGAAACAAATTGATATTCATGTATAACTAGGCAAACTAACAAGCAATCTCTGTGGTGTGAATCTTAACATGCAAAGAAGGATAACAATTCAGGGTCATGTAAGAAACACAGAAAGTGAAGACTTTTTCTGAGTGAAGTCCAATAATATTACAAGGATAAGACGAGAAAGGAGAGCAAAAATAATGGTAAAATAGCATGCGTGTGATCCACATTGGTAGAATAGAAACACCTTAACGATTATTTGGTGTAAAGAAAACAGAACAGAAAAAATGGTCCCTGGGTCTTGCCCTACACAGTTATGTACTTCAATCTTAGGCTTCTGGATCTGATGTAATACACTCCACCACCTACCAAAATAGTTATTTTCTGATGTTGAGTCAGAGGTTGCTTGTTAACATGTAGTTAATACCTTAAATTCTAGAAATGTGAAGTTTCAATTACATTCCTATTTGCATACAAGAGACTTATATGTATTTATACACAAGGATAAACAGTCTCCTTACATTCATGAGTATAGGAGTATCTTCCTAGTCACTTACATGTATACAATCACAACTAACAGTCATCTTGTTGTATACATTCAGATATACTTGGAATATTCAGACAAAATCAGTTAAAGCTTTTAGCTCTTACACCAGTTAGATACCTAGTTTTATAATCTGTAGTTCCTTCCTACCATAATTAATTTATAGAATTTACTTCGTGTCATAAAACAAATTTTCTCAATACAAATTAGAGTATGAATTACCTCCTCTAACTGACTCATCACTAACTTATGTTAAGTTTTCTTTACATATAATACTACACACACAACAAAAAAAAAACTCCCAAGTTTATTTTAAAATACAATTCTATTTTGTTTGACAGTTAAAAATGTTATGTTGGTGTCAAAGTTCTACAAGTGATAACATCTTAAGTCCTTCTGTCCACTTTACAACACTGAAATGAAACAGATAATTCTGATGTGAAAAAATGGTTGCTATCTTGATACAAAGTACTCTAAAATCTTACAGAAGCTCTTAATAAAATGTAAAGACTGCCCCATACAAACTACTAAAAAAACCAATGGTAATTTTTTCTGCTAATTAAATGTAAAAACAAATATACAAACAAAATTTCAATAAAATTAAGCAACTGTAAGGAAAAGAACAATGTTTCAAGCTGTGTTCTTTCAAGTATACAGTGACAAATGTATTACTACATTTTATTACTACAATTAGAACAGCAGCCATTTGTTTTTCATAACCCTCAAAATAATTTTTAACTCCTTTCAAAATCTGACCTCTGCTCTTGTAAAATTCCAGCTGATTAACTGGCCTGTTACTGAAAAGTACTTTTGAGAATCTCAAATGTTGAATATATAACAAAATTCTGTACAATGTTTTTGTTATTTATATGTTTGGACTTCTTAGTTTTTGTCTTACTTGAACATGAGCCAAATCCTTGTCAATACATCCAGCATTTGATACCACATACAGATATCCTTGCTCAGTCTTAGTTACGATTAGGTCATCGATAATGCCTCCATTGTCATTTGTATACAGTGTTAGGGTCCCTTGATTGTCACCTAGGCCTACAAAATAAATAAATAACAAACCACACCATAACACAGTGAACTGCTGCCTTCTACCATATACATGGTCAATTATGGATTTAAAACAAATAAAAAAATTTGTATTAAAAGTATGTTCATTTGAAAACACTGACACCATGAAAAATAGTATGAAAGAACCTTACATAACTCATTAATCTGTTAAATAAATGACATGATAAGTAAGCATTCAATTTCATCATTAACTATTGTATTAGCCTTAATTACTATATGGTTATCACATTTTGTATCATTAAAACTAATTCAGAAACTACATTAATTGTCTTTTAAGATTCTGAGAGAATCTGCAGTCTTTTATGAGGCTGAAGTAATGATTATACGAAGGTTATGCAAGATAATACATTTTCTCACAAAAAATATACATTTATGACAATCATGTTTTTTTCAGCTTAATTTAAAAACACTTGTCATGTTTTCATAACCTCTACTTCCTTACCTTTTGGCTTTTCATTGCAACATGTTTAATGTAGTGTAGTACAAGCATTTAAGAAAATTTATTAAGGAATATCCAAGTTAAGATTAAACAGAGTTGAAGGAAATTTTCTTTAGTATGGAACAAATAGACTAGTTAGTTAAGCTGATACGAAAGATAAAAACAACAACAACTTGGTTTCTTTTATACTAATATTAGAAGTACTTGCAATAGGTTGCTGCAAGTAGAGGCTTTTCCTGGTGGTTACCACGTTAGACGTCAGCAGTGTTACTAAGCCTTAAGAAGATTAAGAAGATGTTTTCAAATGGTTTTAACCCTTTATCATCTCCACCCATGTATTTATGCATGATAGGCATTATCTCCACCCATACATTTACACCAATTACGATAATTGAAAAAATCCTTCCATGGATGATAAAGGGTTAAGGTAAGGTAAATTGACTGAACTTGAAATGTTATGTTTTTATAATGCATGGCTGCAAACTTGAGAGAAGTGATAAGACTGAAGTTTATAAAAGTGTGATATATGCTTAGGTAAAGCAACATCAACAGAAAGGGAAAATTATGATTTTTGAAATTTTCTACAGGCCACTTGATTAGGTTATTTCAGGCAAGTTAACCACATTGCCAACAGACACAGACCTATCCTGTTAACTGGTAAATACTAGTCAGAGACTCAGACTGGCTGGCTGCAAAACATCTGTGAGGGGCAGCTATCTTAGTAAATGTGTATTAAGTCAGTCTAAATTTCAAAAACAAATATCTAAAAGATCTTACTTATCATTTTTCTGTGACATGTGACATATCTGAGCTTCGATTTCTCCATTCAGAATTTTCTAATTTCAAGATAGGCTGCTGCAGTTTCCAATCAATTATAAACATAAAGTACACATAATCACAAGCAAGAATCAAAAATTATAAACATAAAGTATACATAATCACAAGCAAGAACCAAAAATTATAAACATAAAGTATACATAATTACAAGTAAGAACCAAAAATTATAAAGATAAAGTATACATAATTATAAGCAAGAACCAAAAATGATAAACATAAAGTATTGTTACGACAGCGGAAGTCATGTGACGCTGGTAACACGTCATGAGATTCTCGAAGGATCTTGAATTATCCTGGCAACTCTAGTCTGTTCCGGGTGCCCTCTTTTTTAGTATATAAGCCCGGCAAATAAAGGAGAATTGCAGATAGATAGAAAGATTGAAGATAGAGATAATCGAGTCAAGCCATAAGTAAAGTGTGTGAATCCCTGTGAATTATAGCGTGTTTTTATAAAATTAGTTAAGTTAAACTGACTGTGGAAATTCTGTGTATTACAAAGTTGTATCGAGAAAGAATAAACTAGTTTTAATTAAGAAGGGGCTTGTATTGCTGAAGTTCCTTGGAAATAATTTATACCGGAAATTAAGAAATGAGCAGATACGCAACAGTATACATAATTACAAACATCAAGTATACATAATCACAAGCAAGAACCAAAAATTATAAACATAAAGTATACATAATTACAAGCAAGAACCAAAAATTATAAACATAAAGTATACATAATCACAAGCAATAATCAAAAATTATAAGCATAAAGTATACATAATTACAAGCAGGAATCAAAAATTTGAATATCCTACTTTCTTGATCTGCAGAGATATCAGTAAGAATTTGTCAGACCTTCCTCCATCTCTGTCTCTCTGACTTTGGAGATTGTTTGCTAATCTTCTTTACAGGATAATGGACATTTTTATAACCAATAGAAAAAGCAGATTCACTTCTATAAAAATCTTACATGTTATTGTTCAGTTTTCACACCATAAGCCATTAGTCAGCAGAATGACTTGATAAGTGGTGATCATATTCTAGTGCTATGAATACTAAAGGAATTTTTTTTAACTTCTTTAAAGCTTACTTAGAAAGTTGGATAATTCATAGTAGTTTTAGTTCTAAAATGCACATCTGAAAGCTACACAACTTTTTTATTCGACACCCAAATTTGTGAGACTCTACAAAGTTTATGAAGGGGGGAGGGTATTTTCTCCACATACGAAAGTTATTACATATTAGAAAAAAATGCTATTTTACAGCTTGCTCTTAGTGCTTAGGAAGATAGATTGAGAAATGTACTTGTGAACATGTTTTAATTATTAGCAATCATAAACATCATTACTAGACAATGATATTTCCAGATTTACTAAAGTTGTTCATTATTAATTTGTGCTAGACTTCCAAATGACTACATTTGAAGTACATGTTTTTTGTTCCTTCTGAAATAGTAGAAAGAAGGGTTAAAGGTTAACAAAATAACAAATGTTTTAAATAACTTGTCTACGTTTAAGTATAACTTACCTTGAATATCACCAACAACTAAACTTTCCATAAATTTCTCTCTATCTTTTCCAAAAAGCTTTGTTGTAGCATATGTAAACAAATACAAATAACTAACATAGTTCTCGTAGT